ATCAAAATCCCAACACAGACCATATCCACAGGTTGCTCTGGGTCCCCTACCTGCAGATTCAATCAAACTCAAAGTCACATACTTTAAATTACACCCGCACACAGATTTTTTTTTTCCTTAAACAATATGGTAAAGCAACCATTTAGTGAGCATTTGCATTTTGTTTTGTATTGCATAGTATAATATAGATTATTTATTTTGTATTGCATAGTATAACACCAGAGATTAAAGCGTACAGAGAATGTGTAGAAAGGCCACATGCAAATCCTATGCCATTTCATAGAAGGGATTTGAGCACCCAGTGATCGTGCTGTTTCAGGGGATCTCAGAACAGACCTGCATAAACACAGAAGGACACTGCACCTGATCCAAGACACTGCTAAAGGCCAGCCTTGCCATCGAGTGAGTTTGTATCTCCCCTGGAACTGCCTTTAGAGACGGGCTCAGATGGTAAGAAGGGATGGTCTAGGATCAGTGGCTTCCCTTCCCAACATGTAACGGCTCCTCTCGGTTGTTTTGTTTAACAAGTTTGCACAGGGGGCCTATCCTGGGCCTAGGCTGGGACTTCACCTTTCAAACACTAACCATAAAGGGATGCCCACAGGTGGGGGCGGGACTTTAGGAGATGCTTTCAAAATAAGAGCCCATGAGATGTTTGCATATCCACTAGAATAGTTGGACATTTATTTAGAGGTAAATAATACTAAAAGGTAGCTATATTTTGAAGCTTCCATATCATATAAGGCACAAAAGCTCTCACAAAGCAAGAAAGCATACACAGAACCAAGTACGTATGTATGTATGTAATAGACAATTTTAATTGTGAACGCTGAACAAGAACAGAAAATGTGCAAATATATTGTTTAAAGGAAAAACTAGAGAAACATAAGGATGATTTGTTAAAATATATACTGTCCCTGGCATTTTTAAAATAGTCAAGGAGGTGGGGACGGCTGAGAGGTTAGGGCACATGCACTGCCCTGAGAGGACACAGTTCAACTGCCAGCCCCGCGTCAGCTTACACTGCCACTGGAACTGCACTTCCAGGGAGAGCTAGCACCTCCAGCTTCCGTGGATACACACCCATACACGGGTGCGCACACACACACACAATTGAAATATGAAAATTAATCTAAATACAATCAAGAAAATTTCTCATTGTATTTTAATAGTCTTGACACTAACATAAGCTTAACTGAATGAAGATTCATGGGAAATTCTGTATCTAGGCTGGGAGATGACTCAGGAGGTAAAGCAGTTGCCTCCTACATCTGAGGAACGGAGTTCAAAGCCCAGGATACGCTTAGAAGCCGGGTGGGTGTGCTGCGGTGTTGGCCTGCCTATAATCTCAGCACACTGTTTCACGTTTGAGGATATGTGTATATATTTTAAAAAGATGTTTTGAGAGAGAGGGCCCACATCTAGGTACAAAGTTTATTTCTGTCTCACATGCACCCACAATTACATTCAGAGCTCCACTAATAATTAACTTCAGATGTTTTTATTCATGTGTACACATGTGCACATATGTGTGGCAATCTGTGGAAGCCAGAAGGGGCTGTCAGATTCCCTGCAGTTGGAGTTACAGAGGCTGTAAGTCTGCCCTCCATGTGTGCACCAGGAACTAAACTCAGATCCTCTGCAAGAGCAGTGAGCGTTTGTAACTGCCAAGCCACCTCTCCAGCCTCCTGAAGATGATTTTATACATTATTGAAACGCACCGGGTTTTCACTGTGACCCATGACATGGGGTCAGGTGCAGTATTTCCCTCATGATGATTAAAACTCAGAAAGTTTTAAATTTTGAAATGTGTAGTTTTTGGAACTAGGAATGTCCAACCTGTGTTGTGATAATCAAAGTTACTCAAAAAGCTATAAGGTTGAGAATACAGCTCAATGTTCAGAGCACTTGTGAAATTCATGAGGCCCTACGTCCAGTTCAAAGCAACACATACATACTCACAGTCACATAGATACACACACACAGACACAACACAAAAAGATACACATAGAGGTATGTAGAACGAATCTCTTGTGTTTGTATGGAAGCATCACCTGTCAATAAAAAGAAAAAAAAATGGCCTATAGCTGAGGCAGGGAAATAGGAGGTGGGACATCGAGCAAGCAGAAAGGATTCTGGGATAGAGCCATCCGCAGCAAATTCAGCTGGTAAGGTGTATGGAGGACAGATGCATGGTACCAGAGCACAGGTAACCAGCCACGAGGCAGAATGTAAAGTAGCATAAATAGGTTATTTTAAGTTATGACCTAGTCAGAGAAAAGCCTAGCTATATGGCTTAGGAATCTGTAAATATATTTGAGTCTCATCAGTCATTATTCTGAGAGCTTGGGGCAGGGAGGAAAAACTTCAACACAGACACACACACCCCCCACTCATCTTATCCTCCGCTTCCACTTCAGAAATAATCTCTGGGGAAGACAGACTCAATCTAAAAATTTCTATTTCATGGGTCCTGCATGAACCTAAGGGAAGAGAGGCACTGCAGTAACCTGACATCGCTCCCTACAGGTAGGCACAAGTCCCCATGTTTGAAAGAAAAGAACACTACAAAACAGTTGTGAAGCCACACAAGCTGGATCATGCCCTGGTTACTGATCTATTGCTGTGACAGAACACCATGACCAAGACAAGCTATAAAAGAAAGCAAAAGGGCTCATGGCTTCAGAGGTTGGAGTCTATGGTGGTGGAACAAAGGCACGGTGGCAGGGACAACTGAGAGCTCATGTCTTGAGACACAATCAGGAGGTGGTGAGCTGGGAAAATCACACCAGCCTTTTGTAATCTCAAAGCCTGTCCCCAGTGACACACTTCCTCCAAGAAGGTCGTGTCTCCTAATCTTTCCCAAACAGCTCTACAAACTGGACCAAATGTTAAAACGTATGAGCTTATGGGGCCATTTCCATTCCAACCACGACAAGTCAGAATTAAATTGTAAGAAAAAGAAAAGGGCAGGTGTGAGGACACAGGCCTGTAATCCCAGCACTCAGGGAGACAGAGTCAAGCAGATATATGTGAGTTCAAGGCCAGCCTGGTCTACAAATCAAGTCCAGGATAGACAAGGCTACACAGAGAAACCTTGTCTCAAAAAACCAAGAGAGAAAGAGAGGGGGACAGAGAGAGAGAGAGAAAGGAGAACTCAGACCCTAAGCTCATGAGCCTGAGTACAAATAGAAAGTTTCAAGACATCAAGATGAAAACTAACATGCTTAAGTAATCATATGTGGGAATTTCTACTATGCTTCAAAAATAAATTATCAGTGTAATCTCAAACGTGGGCATGATGGCACATGCCTGTAATCCCAACACTCAGGGCATCAAGGCAAGAAGATAAAATGAATTGAGGGCTTGCCTGGGCTGTTTAGTGAGTTCCAGGCTAACCTGGGCTACGTAACATCCAGGGCTTGGAGAATTAAACTTATCACTCAGCCTGTGCGAGGCCCTGGGTTCAATTCCTGGTGCTGCTGGACAAAAGGTTACAGCAGCAGCAGAGTCCAACAGCAAGGCAAAGCCCACTCCTGGGAGGCAGCTGAGTGGGAGAAGGCACTTGCCACTCAGGTCTAGTGACCTCAATCTGAACTCCATGTAAAAGCGGGAGGAGAACTGATTCCATTATGCTGTCCTCTGACCTCCTCACATATGCCATACGTAGCACATGTGTCCCCGACCCCGCACCAGGCAGTGTGCACGTGAATTCCAGTAGCCACACACACAAACATGTGTTAATGTTACAAAACCACAAAGCCCAGTGTTTCCCGTGAGACCAGAAGTAGGTGGCTCTTCTTACAGTGCCCAGAAAAAAGAGCCACACTGGAGAACAAATGACTGCACAAGTCTTCCGTATGACACTAGGCGCCGCCAGAAAACAACCAAACCACCCCTAAGCCCAGAAGGCGATGCTCGGCAGGAAAGCCCCACCACCTCCCGAGGTGGCTTGGTGCTGGGGTGATCTTTGTGTGCACAGTGTAAAGACTGTCTTCGTATTTCTCAGAAGCTGATTTCTGTGCCAGGAGAGAGCTGAGCACGCTCGGGCCACTTGTACTGTCATTCCTATGCTGTGTCGTATTTTGTAAACAGCCCCTCCAACGCCTTCTGACTGGTTTAATAAAGAGCTGAACAGCCAACAGCTGAGGCAGGAGAGAACGGCGGGCTATCCGGCAGAGATAAAAACTGTGGGAAAGAATGCGGCACAAGAGTCACCAGCCGGACACTGAGAGAAACAGGTGCCGGGACTAAGGTCCAGAGGAGAGGGAATAGACCCTGTGGCAGGGCATAGGCCGGGACAGTATTGTTGGGTTAGAAGAGCTAAGAATCTGCACAGCTTATAATAAATGTAACCTGCCTAAGCTTATAACGAATATAATATCTCTCCGTCATTATGTGGGAGCTGGCAGTCCCTTCTTAGCTTGGGGCTGACCTCTGACAGCTGGAGGGCTAAGTGTTAAAGCTTCCAGCTGCTTTCCTGACAAGAATTGGTTGTCAATAAAATGGGTAGTCCGTGCAGCGAGAGCAACCACCTTCATTCAGATGTCTGTGCAACCTCATCATCTGCCCACGGTTCCTCATGCCCTGAACAAGACAAAGGATCCACAGGAGAAGTGGGGCCCTCCAAATGGAGGGCATGCTCTGGGTTTGGAGAAAGAGCCTGCGCTCCTGGGTGGAAGTTACCAGAGCCTCCCTGGTTCCTTGTTTTCCCTTTCTGGGACCTGAGGTGAAGCTGACAGTTTTGTTTCATGCTGACTCTGAGAATGGGACTGTGAGGAAAGTGCCTGGCACATATAGATGAACACGTGGAAAAAGCAATATTCATTTCAAAGCTAATGATTTCATGGTATTAGTCAACCGTTAGCTAAGACCTTCACTAACTCAGTGTGGGGAAAGGTTATATTTTGTGTCCTTCTGGCCCATGCACAGTGTCCCTGAGCAGAAACCAGAGGCGTGGTCATCGCAGTGCATTTAGGAGGCTGGAGAAGGTGCCCTACCTCTAATCGCTGGATCCGTCCCTTGAAGAACATGAAGAGGGAAGAGTTCGGGTAAGCAGATTCCTTTTTGAGAAGAATTTCCTTAGCTTCACCCAGGCCTGCCTTGTTGTCACTGCCGTCCAAGGCAAAGAACGGGCGGACCACCGTGTGGTACCACAGCAGCGCTAACCTGCGGGAGACGGGGAGACCCTGAGCAAGAGTTCTGGTTTCAAAATGACAATCAGCACATGCCCTTCCAAAACTGACTTTTCCCAGTAAAGTCTCCCTGTACGATATTCCAAACAGTACAATCAGAGTGCGTCCTCACTTTTACTTCTGTCCACATCTGGTAAAATGTTACTTTAACACAAGGCATCCATCAACAGTCCCCTATGCTGTGACGAGGAGAAAAACGAAGCAGAGGCATTTGGCTGTTCTGAGGCCTCCAGCTGTATTGTTACTGACTGAAGTACTGGAACCCCTACCCCACTGAGCCCCTGCACAAAATAAAGACAGTCACCATTGAGTTATTGTCTCTCTGTAATAAAAGCCTTTACATTGTGTAGAAGTAAAATGTGGCTCCTGCTGTGCTCATAAAAGGCAGGGTTCAGGCCAGGTGGCGGCTCACGCCTTTAATCCCAGCACTTGGGAAGTAGAGACAGGTGGATTTCTGTGTTCCTAGCCAACCTGTCCTGCATAAAGAGGGCTACATAGTGAGTCCCTACCCCTGTCTTAAAATATACATACATATATATATATGTGTGTGTGTGTGTGTGTGTGTGTGATATATATATATATGGTATAACCCAGACTCTAGGTTTAAATGTAGAATCCACAGTTAAAAATTATATACAAGCATGAAAATAACTGAAATGAACAGATTAAGGGTCCTTTTCCCAACCTTTGAAGATGCTAAATAATGGAAATATATAAATTCCTTACAATTATCTAAGTTCAAGTTAGTTAAAATAAACTAGGCACAGGAGTAAAATCACTACCGAGATCTGCTTTAATAAACACAAACAAGAATTTAACCAGCACATCAAATACTTTCATGTGAATGTTACATGTGGTGTACTGGTAAATCTAATCCCCTTATGGAGAACATATTCATCTGCAGAATTCATTCCAATCCCAATCAGAGATAAACAAGACAATAGGAAGCCATAGGAAAGAAATGACCACAAGTTACAAACCTGTTAATAATAGTAATTCGTAAGAGCCACTGTTTGTACGGCTTGGTGCCTGGGGAGGAGGGAGTAAGGCTGTTTCCCAAGGTTTTTAGGTGACTTTCAGCCCTTCAATGCTAACGTGTAGAACTGAGGCCTCGTGTGACATGGTAGAGGAGCGGGAGCATTTTGTCACAGCAGTGTCATGTCAGACAAACAAGACCAGCCTCTGCTCAAACAGCTTAATCTAAGAACAGTGGTTACTGTCCAGATTAAAATGCTAAAGAGTTCTTCCTCTGTGTGTGGGTGTCTTTTGCCTGCATGCATCCAAGTTTACTACATTTTGCAGTGTCCACAGAGGCCAGCAAAGGGCATCGGATCCCCTTGAACTGGAGTCAGAGGTTGTGAGCTTCCAGGTAGGTGCTGGAAACTAAGCCTGAATCCTCTGTAAGAGTGGCCAGTGCTCTGAACTGCTGAGCTACCTCTCCAGCCCCCTCCCCCCGGATTGAAAATTTCAAATTATGTACTTTTTAAATCATTTTACTGTTCATATGACTCAATTTAGTGGGATGCTGAGAGACATCTAAACTATCCCAACTAACTAGATGCATCGAGGAAAATCAGCCAACGTTTGTATACATTCTAAGGACAAAGATTTTAGAACCACACAAAATTTGATCTTGTAAATTCAAATAAAATGAGAAGTGTGCATCCTAGAGACTGTGGAAAAGGCTGGACAATGGGCCAGCTCACTATTTAAAACACTGACTTCGGGGCTGGCTGGGGAGAGAGCTCAGCTGGGAAACTACTTACCTCCCAAAAATGAGGACCTAACATATGTGCCCAGAACCCACATAAAATACAGACCTGGCAGCACATGCTCCTAACTCCAGTGCTGAAGAGAGGCAGGCAGCTGGGTGCCTGGGCTAGCCTAGACTACTAGGTCAGCTCTAAGCCAATGAGGGATGCTGTCTCAAGAAGCCTGTCTCTGAGGATGGCACCCAAGGTTGTTCTTTGGTCTCCATGTACACAGGCATGTGCACTGCCACACACACACACACACACACACACACACACACACACACACACACACGCATGCACGCGCGCGCACATATGCTCCCCGTGCATATATATAAGGATCTAACAAATAAAACACACATAAAAAACAAGGGACTAACAAATACATGATTCAGGAGACTTAAACAGTCCCCCAGCTCTCTGGCTAACAGGATTATCCATCACCACAAACACAGAACACGCTCCTTGACCCTGTATGACAGGCACATGTGACAGGCACAGGATCATTATCAACCAACCAGCATTTTTCCTGAAGTTTCTTTTACAGTTTCCACTGCTGTCCACTTACTTTCACTATTACATTATGTACCAAAGCATTGCAATATAGCTACTCACGTAGCTAAAGGGGCCTTCATGTCCTTACTTTCGCTTGCATACGTCAGTGAAGAAAGGCCCTGCAGGCGGTCTCCAGGAAACCCCAGCAGGTTGATGATTTTGAGCAGGTTTGGGGGCACCATGGATATGCAAAGGTGAAAAAGGCCATATCCAAAGCTAACAGCACCTTTCAGTCTGTTTAGGGACTCCTCAGTCACCCCTTCAGCCACAATGTGGTTATCATTTGCAGCATCAGAAGACAAGGGCTCTTCTGTCAGCTTCTTCTGATAGAGCTCCTGAAGGGCGTTGATGTCCACATAGCACTTGTTGTAAATCTTCCAGGCTTTCCTAAGGATCCAGCCACCTTTTATGTAGGCTGTGGAGAGAAGGGGAGAGAGGAATTTAAAACCCAGCAGCAGCGTTTGCATTCGGATCGCGACACAGGGCAAGCGGCAAGAGGCTGACAAGAGCAGACGCCTGCCAACATGCTGTCATCAGCCCTCCCTGAACCGCACCTGCTTCCTGGGAGTTACACCCTACAGTCCTACAGTCCGTGGCCAGAGTGAGGCACATGAGGGCTGGGTGGGGCTCTGTCTGCAAACTCTCCAAACAGAGGGAGGGAAGAAAAACTAAAAAGGGAAGCAAGAGAGGGATGAGGAGAGGAGGGGGAGGGGAAGAGAAGGGAAAGGAAGGCAACAGGGGAACTGGCCCTAAGCCTGACGACCTGAGTTTGATCCCAGGGACCTGTGCTGGTAGGAAAACTGATTCCTGCAAGCCGCCCTTTGACCCCGACGGGCACTTGGGGGTCATGCACTTCCCCAACCCTTCCACAAACAAAATAAATAAGTACAATAACAAACGTAAGCACTCAAAGCCTGGCTAAATGTCTCATTATGAAACTAGCATTGCTTAAAACATCATATTTAGTTCAAGGTAACAGAACTTACTGCTCGGACAGCTCACTTCAGACAAATCTCTCCTTCAGGAACTGCAGTGATTTGGTTTTTTTTGTTTTGTTTTTGTGTTGGTTTTTATTTTTTTGCCCCTACCTAAACAAATACTGAGCTTAGGGGTGAAATGCTCCCTTTTTATTTTCTCAACATTCTCCCCCCTTTCCCCCCCATGTAACAATTATGTCAAATCCTTTCTCCATTCTGATCTGGAAATTGAGAGAGAAAAACTCAGCTCCACTCTACCCCCAGTTTTCCTTATTAAAGAAGTAGAATCTTGATTTATGAGAAGGCAGCATTGGGAGGAGGTGAAGAGGTGTGTGACAAGGACCTTCTTTCTAGGGTACAGTGGAGGACACTGTGAGCCATGGGCTCAAGTCCTGCGGGGGGTGGGGAAGCCGAGAAGCTACAGAAACATGGCCATGGCCACATTGGGAAGTGACGTGTAATGATCAAGATCAGCCGAGGAATGAGAGAAACGCATGAAGTGATGGCAACCAACAGAGACAGCTGTTCATCCCCCTCTGCAGAGAAGTCAGTCCACAAGGCAAAACCGAATGCCATGCAGCAAAAACCCCACTCCTATAAGATAAAAATACAGTGAATTTCATGCCTAAGGCAGCACATTGATCCCAATGTCTGTGGGGATAAACTGTACAGGGACACACAAACTCAGGGAACTTTAACCTGAGGCAGTAAAAGAACAACAAAACAAGAAACTGGAGATGTAATTGGAAGTCAAGATTAGGAAGGCTAACATGGAGGAAGAAGTACACTGATTCACCTTGGTGATGAAACCCACCCTCCAGCAGTTGCTCTCCTCCCTGTCCCTAGCACAGGACGCTCTGAAAGCTCCAGATCAGGCAGTCAGAGTGAGGGCTGGCTCTAGGCACCCAGCTCTGCAGGGGACAGGCTCGGCTTGGGGGACTGCCCAGCTACATAACCCAGCAAGGCCTCCAAAGAGCGCTCTCCTTCCATCCAGCAGAAGACACAGCGTTCCAGGCCCACACTGCCTGACCTTCTGCCAGCTCCTCGGAAAGGGCAGATATAAATCATTCAGCTGCTGTGATCTCTCTGCGCTGGAGGAGAAGGCGGAAAGAGGGAGAAACCACGGACCATTTGTCCTACCCTGTGAGGGCAAGCGTCAAATCCGAGGAGATAAGGAGGGGCCTCAGGAAGTCCCCACACACAGTGGTTAGGGCAACTTAGAAAATGCAAGCACCCATTGACACTCCGTGGATCTTGAGATGAATTTTCCATGGGGACCATCTCCAGCAGGAGCGCCTGCCGTAAGACTGAAACTGACCTAATCACGTGTCCCGAGGCTGGGGAGTCCCACAATGGAGGGCCAGTCAGGCCCACCCTTCGCGGGACCCAGGTAACAGACTCTGAAGGAACAAAGCTTTGAAGGAAGAAAGAATGTGTGTGTGTATATGTGTACATGTACATATGCTTGTGTGTGTCTCAGTGTCGGCACGGTTGTGTGGGTGTGTCAGCATGTGCACGTGAAGGCCAGAGGACACCCTGGCATTGCTTCCCAGGGACCTTATCTACCGTCTCTGAGGCAGCCTGGAGCTTGCTGAGCAGGTGAGACTGGGTGGCCCGTGGGTCTCCTGTCTCCACCTTCCCATCACATCTGGGAGGAGTGTAGCCCCTATGCCCATTTTTCCACGTGGGTACTGGGGAGAGAATTCAGGCCCTCAGGCTTGTGAGTCGAGCTCTTTACCAACTGACCTGTCTTCCCAGCCAGCGTCAGGTGATTCAGTTGTCTTCACCCACAGCCAGGAGACTTCTACAGGCTCCATGCTCCACTGGCAATTCTTTCCCTGAGTGCTTCCTCCTCCCTCTGTTCCTTTCTTTCAGTCACAGAATACGCACTGACCACGTGCTAGGGCCCGGCACCAATCATGTATCAGAGACACAGAGAAGAAAACGGACCGTTCCATTGTTGTCTGGTTTCCTTTGTTTGTTTTGAGCAGCCTTGTGCTGTGGCCTAGGCCGGCCTCAAATGGCGGCTCCTTCTACCCCAGCCTCTGAAGTGCTGGGATTGGAGGCTCGCACTTAGCCCCTCCCCATCTTCTCACTCTTTATAACTGCAGAGCGACAGGAAGACTCTCGGCCTTCCCCAGGGGTCGGGACACATGCTCCTGCTTTAACCTCTGTCACGACGTCTGCTGTCACAGGGGATTCCTGAACCTGAATTTACTTATTCATTTTCCCCCTGCTACACCACAAGTTTCCCTCCTTGGTCGCTGGCTACCAGCACTTGCCACATAAGGCCACACACCCGAGAAGTTCTAAAATACGTGGGTGGGGGCGGGGCCATACCACATGGACCAGTGAGTCCCTCCCCACCAGGACTTCACAGTCTGACACTGGGGCAGGTTTAGAAATAAATGAATAAGTAGCTCGCTGGGTGAGAGCTGCTCACTCGGCCACACACGTGGTACCCCTCCTGTCACCCAGGCCAGAAGATGAGGCCCATGGAGAAAGGAGAAGACTTGGGCTACACTTGGCTAGGCCAGAGGGGAAGGCAAAGGGGCTAAAGTGTTTCCAGAGCGGGCCAGTGTGAACTAAGACACAAGCTGCCGAGGAGGTCCCGAAGAGCCTGGAGGAACAAGCATGCAGGGTGCCAGGAGGGGGTGGGCTCCGACCTGCCGCCCAGGAGAGGGGCTTGGCACAGCTGCACCACACCCAAGGAGGATGGCTCCAGCAGCTGAGGGTCAGGCTAGTGCCACTGGAGTCAGGGAACACATCAGAGGTCTGCACAGACCTGCAGTGGGGCGTGACAAGGAGGTGGGGGCACACACAGCCAGACGGGGAGGAGACAATGTCTGAGCAGAACTCTGTGACAACATGGGAAAGTGTGGGAAGAGGGACAACACAATGTAATAAAACCAGCTGAGCATTTGTTATGCCAAGAAAACAACAACCCGTCGGCACGGTTGACTTCAAACACGAACGGAACTAGAAAATAAACCCAGGTGGGAAAGGTAGGTTTCCAACATAACTTCTTATTGCAAAAGCTGTGTGCTCACCACAGAAAGAGGAAAAAATTACCCTTGGACTGCAGTCACGAAGACGTGAGGTCGTATTGGAGCATGGGAGAGATGATGGGGGATTCTTCATAAGGTCAAGTGAGGTGGACAAAGGGCTCCTTAAAAAGTTTGACTTTCCCACTCACAGATCTGGGGGGGTGTGCCCACTGCTCAGAGGGATGACAGCAATGACAAAAGCTATGAAGCTAGAGGTCTGTGGTTTTAGTTTTTCTTTAAGTGTATCCGTCTAGAATGTTCCCTAAGACGCCAGGCATGATGGTACATGGCCATAATCCTAGGCAGGAGGACCCTGAATTACAGGCCAACCTGGTCTACAGCATGGGAGCCAGCTCAGAATAACAAAACAGACCAAAAGCAGACATGAATCCCAGTAATAAAGTAAAGGAATTATTTGTGTGAAGCTCGTTGTTGGTTGTGTTGGTACACTGTTTGGAGCAAACACTGAGCTGTTCATAAAACAAAGGGCCACGGCCCCAGGCTGTTAGGCCGGTGAGAATTTCCCTCACAGTTCAGTATTACATTTAACAAATCAGAAAAACCGAGAATGCTGTCAAATGTCTGTGATAAGCAGGATTAAACAACCTTTAGATTAGGAGGAGGAGAAGAAAAGCCTTGACAGGCAGCCTAGAGAGAAAAGCAATTCTTGGATGGACTAGCAACAGCTCTGCAGTAAAGCACAGCTGAGCACAGGCAGCCATGGCCTTGAGCCAGCGTCACACCCAGGATTCATGAGGTAAAAATGAAACAGGTTCCACTCCACTAAGAAAATAACAACAACAACAACACGGCATAGAATACACAGATGCCCACTAGGAACTGATTCAGCCCATCTGCACGATAAATGTGCATAGGAATACTATAAAATTGTCATCTACGGAGAGGTGAGACAGAGTACTGTAGAGTCAATTTCATTACAAAACACCTTGAGAAGGATAAAGAACAAGAGGATCTTTCTTCCAGGTGAAAACATCAGAGGTGATGACTTGGCATTTTTGTCCTCTAAACAAAAATCTTCATGATAGTTCCATCACAATGCTTGGCCGTTTTCCAGGTGGAAAAACAGCCACAGGAGGGGCCCACACCTGTGTTTGCACTCTGAGCTCAGGAGCTCCGTAATTGCTGAGTGGGCCAGTGAAGGGCAGATGAATTCATTCTGTAACTTTTGTTTACTTTCACGTGTAAACACCTCACCACATCTGCTTAACCCTTTAATGACCTCGGGGCTGGGGAATCCCCACAGCTCAGAATGAGTACTGCTCTTCCAAAAGATGGCAGCTCAGGCAGCTCAGGCAGCTCAGGCAGCTCCGAACCACCTAGCTCCAGCTCTGAGGGACCTGGTGCCCTCTTCTGGCTCCAAGGGTCCCTTCACTCCACATGTACATAACCACATCCAGGCACACCGAAATAAAAGTAAAATAAAATTGGGTTGGAGGAGCAGGGGAGCTAGAGAGAGGGTACCCTTTTGCTGCCCAGGGTGGTCCTGAACTCCTTGGGCTCAGGGATCCTGCTGGTCCAGCCCATCACCAAGCAGCTGGGATCTTTCCACCAAAACATCTGGCTATCCTTCTCTCCTAAGAGACATTTTCTTTATACTTTTTTTTTTTTTTGAGACAGGCTCTCTTTACGTAGCCTTAGCTGTCCTGGAACTAGTCCAGACTGGCCTGGAAATCACAGAGATCTGCCTGCCTTTGCTCCCCAGTGCTAGAATTAATGGCCTGCACCACCACACCTGGCAAGATGCGGTTTTTTAATGCCTAAAATGAGTTCCTTACAAGAATTCTTGGGCATCAGAAAAAGAATATCAAAATGAGAGGAGAACAAGAACTCTGGACCGCAGTGTCCGTGAGGTCTGCTGGCCCTAGGTATCAACACACAGTTCTGAAATGGCAGATATGGCGGGGTAAGGGAGGGGCACCTCACCTTTACCAACTTACAGTCACGCTGTGGTCTCAACAGGTTACAGTTGCCATGTTAGGGAGGAGCTGAGTGACAAGAAAAAGTTACAGGGGGTAAAAGAACCAGAGCAAACGGTGAAGCACATCATAGGATATATTTTCAAAGAAGAATAATGTTTTGGAAGTTCAACTATTAGAAGTCAAAATGAAGTTAAATTCCCTTCCAACTGAAGTTGAACAGAAACAGCATAAAGTAAATGGAAACAAGGAAAAAGGAGAAAATGATTTCCAGTTGTCTAGAAAGGAATGTCTATGTTATATTTCACAGGAAAAAAAGTCATTTTCATTTAAGGCCTGAGAGAAAATGTGTTCCTGAGTATGAATCTGAATCTCTTTCCTCTTAGTCTTCTCTTCCCTTATTTTGCCCCATAGGTAAAGCCTGTCCAGGCATGTGGCAGCTTCCTGCAATCAGGATGTAAGGGACATCAGCAGACCAGGAAGTCTGTCTCCCAGCATGCTACACCAGACTATCTGAATTCATTCTACCCAAGAAATGAAAGCAGCAAAAACCCGGAGAAAAGTGCCGGACAAACCAGTGACAACACGGGCACAGGCCTTGTTAAGCTGGCAGTGACGGCGGGCTCCCAAGCACAGCACCAAGCCGTCCCTCACGCACTTGACACTGACAGAGCACTGAAACTGAAGCCAGTCTGATTTCATTTTAAAGAGCAATATGTACAACCTGATAACCAAGGCACTACTGGATGCCCCCTATATGTGAAAGACATTAGCAACTCTCTAAGAAAGACAGCTATCCTGACTGAAATGCAGACTTCAGGCCTCTGCTGGGCACACACTAAGCACCCACGATTTCCATTTCCTAAGTAACAAACCAGCAATGTCCCCACCCAAAGGCCCTGCTGTGTGCTGATTTTCAGAGTCTAAGTAAAATTTTAAAAGAGAGAGAGAAATTGAAGTATTCCCAACTGTGCCCTCTGGCTAGTGAACCTCATTAAAAAATGCTTCCACTCACCAGACAGCTCCTGTTTCACAAATGAAAGCACAGCCAGGTAGACCTGGCAGTCAGCGATAATGATTTGCCTCTGAAGTCGATCAACCATGGAGGGAGGGGATTTTCGGGCATCAACCTGTGTTGTGAAGAGAAGGTTATGTCATAAGTCACGCGCAACAGAAGTGGAGCCCCAGAGGTGGACCCTCAGAGGGGGAGCTTCCGAGGGGGAGCCCCAGAGGGGGAGACCCTGAGCAGCTGCACCTTTAGCTCTACCGGTACAAAATGATTTCCCACAGGAACCGTGAAGCCCGGCAGCCACTTAGAGCAAAAACCAAATTATGCCAGAGGCTTGGTGGTTCCACAGTCCCCTTCCCTCCAATTTGCCGTCCTAGAGAACACTGTAATTCAATACCTATTGTAAATGATGAAAATGGAATTTATGAGAAACGTGAAAAATGAGGGGAAAAAATAGCAAAGGATTCATCTTTTTTCAGACAATACATGCTACATGCAAATCCTGAAAGGCCATTTTATAGCCATCTGTCTTCAGGGGACACTAATATTAGGGTGCGTCCTAATATTAGGTGTGTGTAGCTGAAATGCAAGGGTGAAGAAATGGTTACCTATTCATCCATTAATCTGAACATATCCTGAAATCACAGCTTCCCTCTGACTAAATCAGAAATCATGCCTGAAATTTAAGGGATGTAAGTAAAAACAAGCAAAAAAAAAAAAAAAAAAAAAAAATCAAATGACATTTTTGTCAAAAGGTCTTTGTCAAAGGATGTTTCTCAATGGAATGAGAAACTCACCTGAGCCAGACTACACCTTCTGTACAGAAAGCGAAGTGCTTCCGAACAAACCATGTAAGTAACTGTTCAGGTCACAGTGCTGTAGAATGTGGCATGTTTCTGCCGTGTATGTCAGCAGTGCACGGCGTGAACAGGACAGAGTGACCGTGTCTCCTCATCTGACTAAACTTTAACATCATGGTCACTGTTGCTTATGTCCAGTCCCAGCGGTCACTGGTGTCGAAAATGTCAGTCTGTGCTCTTTTCTGTCCAGCAATAGCATCCGGCATGCAGGGTCGCCAGGGGGCTGAAGGGCCTGTGTGGAGGGAGCTGCTTTACACACTGCAAGGTCCTTTGCGGATGTTAGCGGCGTACCAGCAGGAATGAGGGCGGAGCGGCCTGGTATGGAGTGTGCTTGAGTTCGTGAGGGCACAGACTTCATTACCACGTAAAACAGTAAGGGCAGCACCGTAGCTGTCCAACCAGGGGGTCCTCTGGCACAAACTCAGCAAGGCGCAGAGCCTCGGGCAGGAGAGTGCTGGGGCAGGGGGATGGCATTCAGGGAGACTCAAAGAATGAATGAACAATGGTGGTATTCTAGGATTGCGGATGGCTCAGCAGGTAAATGCAGACGTGATGAACTGAGTTCTAGATGAAGAGAACACTTGAAAGGCGGGGGGGGGGGTGCTAGGGCAGGTCTGTGATGGAGACCCACAGCCATCACTAAGGTCTGCCGGCCAGTCAGGGCTCACCTGAAGACGCAGAGGGAAGACGGGTACTGATGACTATAGCCAGCAGACACGTTTGATAAGTCTCATAGGGGACACATGGGAAGGCCAGATGCTGCTGTCAGCACCAGGGGAGGGGCTGCCCGTCAGCAGCTTCACTGGGTTTATAGTGACAGGGGAAAGGAAGTTCTGACTATGTGGATCATGGTCCTTTATGTGTTTGTGACCACGTATGTACACATGTGTGTGGAGGTCAGAGGATGATGTCAGGCCCGGTTCCTCCTTGGACACTGTCTATCTTGTTTTGTCCTGTTTTTTTTAAATCTAAACTTTGCCACCACAACACTTCACTTCCTGAGACCGGTTAGGCTAGGCTGTCCCATCTGTGCCTCCCCAGTGCTGGGTCATGCCATCACGCCTGGCTTTTTATGTGGGTTCTAGTCCTCATGCATACACAGCAAGCACCTAACAGTTGAGGTCTCTGCCCAGCCTGGACCATGACCTTACTGACACTTTGCCTATAACCGAGGCCAGCAACTCCTGGGGAACTTGGAGCAACTGCTGACCCAGTGTGCGACTGTTTCACCAGCTACTATCTTCACAAGTTTAACCACACACAGGAAACCCTCCCTCGCCTACAGAGCCCCCACAGAGAGCTGTGCTGCTTTCATTTCTGTTGCTAAGGTAAAACATCCCAAGCAAAAGCAACTTAGGGAAAAAAAAAAAGGGGCGGTTATCTGCTTTTCAATCCCGGGCTGCAGTCTGTCCCTGAGGGGGGAATGAGGGGAAGAACGTAAAGCAGGTAGTCATGTCACATCCAGTCGAGAGCAGAGAGGAATGAATGGTCCACGCTGCCTGCTTGCCTCTGCTTTCATCTAGCTTTCTCCCATTTCGTACAGCTCAGCAGCCCCGCTTAGCAAAGGGTGCCACCTACAAAGGGCTGCATCTTCTTACATAAATTAACAATCAAGACAGTCCCCCACAGACATGGCCACAGGCCAACCTGATCGAGAAAATGCCTCGATTGAGGGTCTCTTCTCCAGTGATCCTGGATGATGGCAAGCCAACATTTAAAACTAACCACACAGACTCTAAGAACAGGCAAGGGATGGTTCTAAAGACTGAAGGGGCCTCTACTATTCTAAGAGACATAGTACTTGACCAGAAGCCATGACAGATAATTAATGTCCATTTTCAGTCATATCCTAGATTCCAAACCTAAGTCAGTGAGTGACACTCTACAGACAGGCCGTGGCTTACAAGCTAGCGCTGAGCCACTTACGTTCTTCTTGATTTTATTCTTAATTGTTTCGATGACTCCAGCCTCTTCACTTTCACACAGCTTTTCCGTGGTTTTTAAGTCATCACACGCCAACTGCATTTTTTCTTCCTCGAATGTCATCATGGCATTCTTCCAGGAAACAGAGAAAAGACCAATGAATCAGTAAGCACAGGAACCTCAGGCTTTGTTACTGTGAAATGACAAACTAGAAAAATCACCACAATTATTCTCAAGTAAAAAGATTCACACTGTTACAGTATGCTCTAGTCATTAAAGAAACTATAATCCTAGTGTAAAATAAGACTACATCTCGATTATGCCAGCATGAAAAATTATATGGTGGTGAATGTTCTTGTAGTTTCATTTTATTCTCTTTTTAAAATTTAAACATAATAGAACTATATCATTTTTGATTGACCTATTCACTTCAGTTTTTATAACAGGGTCACATTCAAAAGCTTATTCTACCCACTGATGGATCTCTGGCTTCAAATATTGAACAACAACAACAAAACGCTAGTAAAAGAATAGTCAGCAGATGCCATTGGGAGATCAGTCTTTCCAGGGACAGAAATTCCTGTGGGTGGATTTACCTTCAAAGAATTCACTTTGCATTATCTACAGTCACTCCTCAATATTTAATGAGCACTTCAGACATATACCCAGTACAACAATGGAGTTATTTGCTTGCTCTTTTAAATGTGGTCTCATGTAGCCCATGCTGGCCTTCAAGTCAATATACAGATAAGGATGACCTTGAATTTCTGACTCTCCTGCCTTCCCCATGTACCAAAACACCTCAGAGAAAACCGAGGTCTCTGAGCTGCACAGGCAACAGGGGTAGGAGCACCCCGTTCTTTGGAGGCTCTGCTGGATCTGCTGGTGTCTCTGATGTCCTGGTGTCTCTCTCTCTTTTCGTTCTCCATCAGGCGGGACTGACACTCTAGGCTCCTTTGATGTGACTCTAGCCAACTTCTCCATGCTAGCCAAACCAACCCTCAGTCACCTTGACTGCAGCCAGTTCTCCTTCCAAAAATCCTGCAGGCAGCTAAAAGCTCAGCCTTGCCGTGAGCTCACTCTCCACACTACTCACCCCGGATCCTCTGATTGTCTCCACACCCTCCCTCACAGTCACTTGGGTACTGAGATGGCTAATCTCAACTGTCAGACTGATGAGTTCTAAAACCACTAGGGAGACAGGCCTCGGGCAGGTCTACTGGGTATCATCTTGATCAGGTTAACTGGCATGGGAAGGCCTTTCCACTGTGGGCGGCACCATTCCCTGAGCTGAGAAAGGAAGTGAGCTGAACAAAAGCACTGAGCACTCACTGATTGTGACTTGTGGATACAATGTAACCAGCTACCCCACTGTTCCTGCCTGTGACTTCCCAACCACTATGGTCTGTTTGCTGTGCAAACCCTCTGTTCAGCTGCTTCTAACTGGCATTTTATCACAGTCACAGGACAAGTAACTAAGACAGACGTTACAGTCACCATCAAGAACAATCTTCCCCTAGGTATGGAGCTAGCATTCCTGCAAAGAGGCCTTAAGACCTGTGTTCCAGTAAGAGAAAATCAATAGCTTGAGTGAAAACCCAGCTGACTGGATGTTAGCCAAGGACCAGATGGCTGCCTACAACATGCCCTTTCATTTTTTAATGTAAATTTTCTCTTCCTTTAGTCTTTACTCAGTACATTTTCTCCTTTATGCAATTCTATACTGATTTTTTTAAATGGCAAAAGTCGTTTATATGACAAGCACTTCAGAAAAACAAAGGCATCCAGCTCCAATATTGACCAGCTGACAGGCTGAACTACTGTAAAGCTACCCCCTCTCTCAAGCAGTAGCACCGGAATACTTTCATTCAGCCCCTCAAAGCATCCTCTAGGCTGCGGTTACTCAGTTTTGGAGCTAACCTTTCTTACCAAAGACTTTTTCTCTTGTCACAACACAATCTCAATCTATGAAGGGCTTTCAATTAGATTTTTATTCTTAAAACAACAACAACCAAAAACAGGTTGGAAAAAACATAACCCTCTAAATATCATACATAAGCATTTTATTTTTAAAGTTGGGGAGAACATTTATCTCACAGACGTTGATTAATGGGCAAAACTTTAAGGTTTTCTATGATGGTGTGTCTATATAGCTGGCAGGCAAACAGGCATTAGTTTATACTTGTTTTCTTTACACAATATATCTTTTGATATCAACTTACCAAAAAGCTGACAAAGCTGGCTCCAAAACTCATTAGTGGACTGTGATTTCTGTTAAAGAAACAAAATATTTTCATCAGAAGTCTTACTTTAAAAACATTTGGTAGAACAGGATATATCATTATATAACCCCCTTCACTGGTCAGAGGTAAACTAAGCAAACAGATTAAATTGCACCAAGAAGAAGTTGAAGAAGTGCTTCCTGCCTCCACCTCTGATCTTCAAAGCAAAGGAGGTCTCAGTGCTAAATTACAACAGACTGCCTTAAATTGTGGCTACGAAGGAGCGGACAGTAAATACAAAGATATAAATAGAAAGATACATTGCTAGACCAAAGGAAGGTGGTCTGTTTTCAAAGTGAAAAGCTGAACCCAAACTTTACATATATAAGGGCTGGGCATGATGGTACAGACCAGCACTTGTGGGGCCGAGGCAGGGGGATCACGACGTTGAGGCTTACCTTAAGCAATATCCTGTCTCAAAAACAATCAGAAAACACTTAGCACACATAAGTCAGTTTTATTTGTAGAACAGATCAAAGAGTGTCGCCACTGGGCCTGAACTCTTGAATTCACCAGCCAAGGCTGAGGACACCTCCCTAAGACCCACTTACCCCCCACTATGACATACAGTCCTTAGCCAATCCTGTAGTAAGCCCAAGAGGAAACCAAGCCAATGTCAAGTGAGGCAGAAACACAAAAGAACGTAAAGTCTTCAATTCTATCTAAAAACTAATACAAACCCCAGATCTCTATAAACTGTATAAGAGGAAAAGGAAGTAGTATGCTCTTAAAAAAAAAAAAAAATGCTGCTATTTTTTTCACAATTCACATACATGGCCATTATACTAGCAACAAAATGTCATGTGACAATTTATTTAGTACTTCCTCCACTAAAAATTTACATTGTGCCTACTATGAAAATAGTGTGTGTGTGTGTGTGTGTGTGTGTGTGTGTGTGTGTGTGTGTGTGTAGGAGACAGAAAGTGAGCCCTTATGTATATGAACGTCCACATCTCTGTCTCAGGAGTATTCCACACGTTTGCAGGCAATACCAAATCTCTTCCAGAGACAGGCTGCCAGAGGGAGCGCGCAGTCAGGATGTGCGCTCGTGTCCTTCTTTTCTTGCAGAGACCTTATGTGGAAGGGAGTATTGTGGGGGAGGCTCTAGGGTTAAATCTGTTTGGAGTGCTAACTGGCTAGCACTTCTTCCCCACCTACTTTGTACTATGCTTATACTATAGCTGCCTTCAAGTTGAATCGACAGCGGTGACAAACAGGAAGGTCAGTTCACACAGGAAGAACCCAAAGCAGTGCTTAGACCCCAAGCTCAGCCAGGCGGTCTGTGTCATGACTACACTGCCCTCCAAACGCATTCTGTTCACTGTCATTTCACAGTATTACCTAGATGTGGTACAGGCGCCTGACTCCTGGATTTATCAACTGCACGAAGCAGGCAGTGGAGGACGGCGGTCAGTGAGGGAGTGAGGTCCCTGCTCTCAACACAGCGATGGCTGCCCTGGCCTTCCCGTCTCCTGCCTTCAGTTCAGCCTCTCTACCCACTGCTACTTTGCCTTCACGATGTTGGCTAAAATTAGCTCCTGAAAACCGCGGGAGTTAATTATTCATGGTGCCAAGTTTTGCCCCTGTCATTTCACATACCATCTTATCATTTAAGTGGAAAGAAATATGCTGACACCAGTCCAACAGAGGCACTTTCTCTCCTTGAGGTCTGTCCATCAACCACACAGCAGGGCTACCGCAGGCACTGGCTGCTGTCTTGTCGGCCTGGCTCCATGGCCCTGTTCTTGCAGGGCTCGGTCCGCCACGCTGGGCCTCCTCAGTCTTTGAATCCCACACACTTCAAGTGATCCAATGTTAACTGACCTCAGCTCAGTTAATTCTGGCCTGTCCTTGTCTTGGGGATTTAAAAATGTCTCCAAAGACATGAGGATGATTACTGACAACCCAGGGCTGAGGCAGAAGGAAGCAGAAAGGTTCCACTGAGCTTCAAGACGATGCACATGAGGGCCCCCCATCTGTTTGAAAAACAGGTATTTAGGACTGCAAAATACTTGTCTAGTATTCACGAGGCCCTGAGTTCAATGCCAAGCACCTCCCAGGCCAGGTGATGGGGCAAACACCTGCAATCTCTACACCTGGAAGTGGAGGCAGGGGGATTGGGAGTTCGACGTCATTCAACCGGTCTGAGGCCAGCCTGGGCTACGTAAGACACTGCCTCAAATAAAATTAAAAATATACCTTTAAACTAAAACTGTGTATGCAGAAGGCCAGGAGGAAGGGGAAAGAGGGCAGGGAGGAGAGCTCTTGTATTAACATGGTTCGTTGAAGAGACCTAGGAGCCCACAAAAGGAATAACAAAGCTGTAAGATGAACTAAAGGAAGCTATGTGTAAATCCCATTCACATCTCAGTGGATCAGGTGACATAACTAACAGACTTTAAAGGTGTTAATCTATCAGCACATTCCTGTTGCAGAATGTCCTCAGAATTCCCCCTACACACACACACACACACACACCCTGTATCCAGTCACCACATCCTTGCAGGACAAAAAGACTCTGTTTTTCTACACCAGTTGGGGGCATGGTTTTATGATACATAAAGAAGTACATTAAAGCCCATGACTTTATACTAACTAGTAACATTTTCCCTTATTTTTATTTTGTGGGTATGTTTTGCCTGCACGCATTCTGTCTATGCACCACATGCATGCAGTGCTGGAGACGGCCAGAAGAGGGAGCTGGATCTCATGGAACTGTTGTTATGGATGGTTACTGTGTGGGTTCTGAACCCAGGTCCTTTGGAAATGCAGCTGGCTCTTACCCACTAAGTCAGTTGAGAATACAAACTGCAAGAGTTCATGCAAACTCTGTATCTCTTCCAATCTTCAGCAATAGACCTACTTCCTAGTTCCGTCCCCTGCAACGTCTGGCAAGGACGCTCACTTCCCAGCTGTGCGCATGCTCAGCGCCCTCCCTGGATGCCCTGCAGGACTCACTGTCTCCTCCAGGAAACGCTGCTTCCCGATCAGGCACAAGGAGAGCCGGAAGTGCCTTGTTACACACAGAATAAAGAACTTTAAGGGGAAAAAAAATGTTATACTCTTAAAGAGGTTCCCATTATCCAAAGAAGAAAATATTTCATTATCCTTGAGGGGAAAAATGGATGGAAACAAGTCAGTTTAAACCAAGCTAATTAAATCTTTTAATGAAAAGCAGAAAAAGACGTACCAGTTGTCATGACCAAATACCACCAAACACCTGACAGAAACAACTTAAGGGAGAAGAGATTTATTCTGACTCACAGTTTCAGAGGACTTAAATTCACCATTGTAGAGAAAGCATGGAGATCAGGAGGCAGAGACAGAACAGAAGAGGTCAGATTCCACAGTCTCCCTAAACAATGCTACCAGCTGGCAGGTAACTGTTCAAAGGCTTCAGCGCCTCACAGAGGACCCTGGGCACCCAACCCATTGATTTGAAAACTGATCCAATTTAAACAGGAAGACAACACGAACTGACCTGCTTATTCTCTATGACTTGGAGGGACCTGGATTAGGGGAAGGGAGTTTCTCTAATGAGTGAATCGCAAACAAGAAAATTCCTCAGGATATTAATATAAACATGTTTTATAACATGCATATGTAAACATGCATACATGTATATAAAATTAATTGAATATCTGACAACTAATTTTGTCATTCTTAATGAAACGCAAGCAGCAAGCATGGAGACAGGAAAAAGAAGAAACTCAACACCACCCACCATGACGATACAAGCAAGAGCCATCCTGCAGGCAATTCCACGGGTTACAGATCTTAATTCTTCTGCAGTAATAGTGGACCACACAGGGCAGAAGGGAAACAAACACAGAATTTCTAACATAAGGCATACCAAACAATGGAAACACAGAAAAAGAATTCCAGAACACAAGAAACAGCACATACATACACACATACATATAGACTCATACATAGACATACATACAGAGAGACATAAAAACATACACAAACATATACACATACAATTAAAGGCAAGATTTCAAACTGCCCTTAACAGTAGAGATAAATCATTAACTATCTAAAGAGACATATGACCGGGGCAGAAGTTCCCTGCACTGAGAACTTAGAACACTCCCAAGAGAAATGAAATACCACATGTCTGTTTGTCAGCGGTGCTAGCCCAGACGACTCTCTGTTCTGGGGTTGCCTGCACCTCGAAGGATAACAGGCAAAAATATAGATAAACACGAGTGTCGTAAATACTGCGGCCACTGGACACGACACTAGCCTATGCAAGTTGGAAACGTGCCAAGGTTCAGCAATGGTTGGTTTCCCCAGGGTCCTCGCTTTGGAAATGTGGTCCTCAGGATGCTTTGCAGAGACGTGGCCTTTAGTGGGGCCCTTGAATAGATTCAGGTATCCCTCACCAGCCCTGGTTGATGATCCAAAGAGAACTATGACAGAAGTGTGGCCTCCCTGCTTCCTGTTTTGCTGTGTGATCTACCACAATTTAATAAGACACAGACGGCCCTCGCTGGAACTAAACTGAGACCCATGTTAGGTCCCCGAACCTCTCAAAACTGTGAGCAAAATAAGTTAAGTTGACCCACCTCAGATAGTTCATTGTAGTTATAAGAAGCCAGTACAGCATGTAGAGAAATTTCCAAAATAAAAATTTTAAATACATACAAATAAAAATACATCCCCCCCCCAAAAAAAGACATCTTTTGGAATCCACTGGTGAAGGGCTCCTATGCTCACCACCACAGCTTAGTTTTTGAAAGTGAACCATGAGTTATAAAATTGTTCTGAATTTATTTCTTTTAACTCTATGTTAAGTCACCAACGGCAGAACACCTGTTAAGAATAAATTTGTCATCTGTCCCTACACTGACAAACATTTCAAGGGAAAAAAGCTCTCTGAAGTTTCTCCAGGACATTCCACCTGATTAGGACACAGAGGGAGGAAATTTATACGCAGAGGTTCTCTTAATTTTTAGAACGAAGTTTATTTTTATTTTACATGCA